TGCTCAAATGTCTTAGGTCTTCTTTGTGACATTTTCCAAAAATGAACTTCAAATTTTGATTCGTCTGACCACAGAACAGTTTTTGCCACGGTCCATTTTAAATGAGCCTTGGCCCAGAGGAAACGCCTACGCTTCTGGATCATGTTAAGATACGGCTTCCTTTTTGACCTATAGAGTTTTAGCCGGCAACGGCGAATGGCACGGTGGATTGTGTTCACCGACAATGTTTTCTGGAAGTATTCCTGAGCCCATGTTGTGATTTCCATTACAGTAGCATTCCTGTATGTGATGCAGTGCCGTCTAAGGGCCCGAAGATCACGGGCATCCAGTATGGTTTTCCGGCCTTGACCCTTACACACAGAGATTGTTCCAGATTCTCTGAATCTTTGGATGATATTATGCACTGTAGATGATGATAACGTCAAACTCTTTGCAAATTTTCTCTGAGAAACTCCTTTCTGATATTGCTCCACTATTTTTCGCCGCAACATTGGGGGAATTGGTGATCCTCTGCCCATCTTGACTTCTGAGAGACACTGCCACTCTGAGAGGCTCTTTTTATACCCAATCATGTTGCCAATTGACCTAATAAGTTGCAAATTGGTCCTCCAGCTGTTCCTTATATGTACATTTAACTTTTCCGGCCTCTTATTGCTACCTGTCCCAACTTTTTTGGAATGTGTAGCTCTCATGAAATCCAAAATGAGCCAATATTTGGCATGACATTTCAAAATGTCTCACTTTCAACATTTGATATGTTATCTATATTCTATTGTGAATAAAATATAAGTTTATGAGATTTGTAAATTATTCCATTCCTTTTTTACTCACAATTTGTACAGTGTCCCAACTTTTTTGGAATTGGGTTTGTAAATTTCATTACATGCACAGCCCCAAATTAGAATGGCTAGTTTCCTGTTGATAAATTTAGTCTCTTTTCCCTTTTTCCACTTCGTCCTCGCTACTGTGAACTTCCTTTACAATTGCTCCTTCTTAGTTATATTATTTATTGACATGTTTTTTTAATTAGACAAAACAATGTCTGCTTAGAAGAAATGTGTCAAGAACAGTTGAACATGTAAGGCAAAGTAAAAGTAGACACATTAAGGCAATGTCTGGGAATTTTCTCTAATGGCTGGCTCTGAGAAATAGACTCTCTCTCTTCTCTCTCTCTCAGCCAGACAGCAGCGCTTGAGCCTGTGGATGTGTTAGGAAATATTCAGTAAAGATCAATAATGCCATCAGCCATGTTGGAGCTCCCTGTCGCTGTAGAGGCTTGACTGGATCGATGCCTGACTCAGAGCCACGCAGGCCCCATAGCTGCACAATCATGTCCTCATATCCAATTAACTATATGGGTATTTACTAGAGCCCGACCGATATATCGTTTTGCTGATATTATCGGCCGATCTGAGCCTGTCGCCGATATATCGGTATAGGTGAATATGCCGCCGATATGATTTTTTTTTTTACAGAATATATAACGCAGATAAAATGCTTGCAATGGTGTAATTACTTAGTTTGTACAGCATGACGCGCACCATTGTTTGCTACTGGCGACTTGGATGAAACGCTTTAAAGTCTATGGAAAACCATTAAAATTTTTAATGGCTATATCTCCGTAACGGCGTGGCGAATCCGCACCAAATTTGGGGGATCCCTTCAGCTCGAGGAACCCTCTTGAATGCAAATCAAGTGTACGTCTAGAGGCCCACTTTCGAATGAGACCACCCCTGCGTCAATAGCCCCCGGGGTTCGGGAGTTACAGGTTGTTAAATTCGCGGTCCGGCGCCGACCAATCAAGTGATCCCAAGAGGCTACCGATGTGCGGAGGGTGGCGTTTGAGAGGGCTCCTCGAGCTGAAGGGATCCCCAGAATTTGGTGGAGATCCGCCGGCGCGTTCGCGAGATAGTGACACCAGTCAACACTTTCACTTCAGTAAGGAGGTCTCTTGCTCAGGCAGCAGCATTCAAGCGTTGTCTTATTCGACCGCAAGTGCCGCGAAGTGGACTTCACATGAAATTCCGCCATGATTCCAGTTCCAAGGGAACGTACACGTTACATTCATAGGGCATTAAAGTGCGTGAGACGTGAATTTATATTGTATTTATTTACAGAGGTATATTATGTCACACTTCACACTTCCAACCCTCTACATTGCGAGTAAATCACTCGCATATGTGACTAAATCTTCACTCTGGGCGACTAAATGATGTCTAATATTAGCCACTGGCTAATAAATTCTCAGATTTTACTTGCCAGCATGGGAGTTGGAGGCTAAGTATAAATTTAGCACAGATATATTTTCACTCACCGAACACTGACTGAGCACTTCAGAGTTTCACTCTCCGTCAAGCGAAGCGATCTGTGCTATTTTTCAGTTCATCTCAATGGATGAGCAGCGCACCTGTATTTGACCGTAAACTCTAGTGTGAAGGCACTTGCCGTTGCTTTGTCTCACACACAGAGAGAGAGAGAGAGAGAGAGAGAGAGAATTGACGTGCTACATGTAAATTATATTCTTTGTTGTATTTTCCTGTCAAAATAACAACGCTCCTTTGGAGTTCTTCAGCTTTTAAGAAATGCCGCTTTCTCTGGTAGTGGGCGGGACTAATGCGCAAATGGCAATCCATTGGCTGGCGCTCACTTATTATCGTCCCTGTTTTGATTTCAGCAAATCAGTTTGAGCGACCACACACAACCTTATTAATATTCATGAATCCAGCAGCTCATTAATCCTTAGTGCGTTTTATATTGTTCTTATTACTAGAATTCATATCATTATTATCATCATTATCAGTCTGGCAAGTAAACTAAAAAATTTACTAGCCAATGGCGATTCAATTGCCAAGGTGTCCGTAGAGGGTTGACTTCTTTAGTAATTTTCGTCTGTGTGTGAAGACAGTAGCGCAAATCCATGAATGAATGTTCCGAAGTGAAATAAACTTCAATGGAATAAAGTTGAATGGAATTGAATTGAATTAAAGTCGAATAAACTTCAACATTACTGTTCAGTGCACTGATGTCAGACTCATTTTGGATAATGAAGTTTATTGTTAAATTGTTAAATGCCCTGCCTCCATTACATATTTCTGTCACGTCATTATAAGTGTTTGATCACCACATTTGAGCAATCATTGCAAAAAATGTATATATATGTGTTTATGTATATACTGTATTCTATATATAGTACCAGTAAAATGTTTGGACACACGAATGGGAAAGTGTCCAAACTTTTGACTGGTACTGTACTATAATATATACAAAGAATATTTTTTACTCCCTAGTATCGGTATCGGCCCCAAAAAAACCCATATCGGTCGGGTAAATTGAGTTTGAGGATGTTTTGACTATTTAAATTATATGGGGACCATGATTAATTTTACTCCAGTGTAGGGGTGTGCGATATCACGATTTTTGATCATGGACGATTAAAATGCCTCCACAATCTGCTTTTATAGAAATATCATAGTATTCTATCAGTTGCAGTTCTGACGCCTCCATCTCAATATACTGTACAACACGATATACAGTGCATTCACATCAAATGTTAACTCACGGGACACTGCACTTGTTCGCAATCACAAAATTAAATGATTTGCATGTGCATTAAAGCCTTGGCGGTTAAACATTTCATTCGCACATTGTTCTGTGCTTTTTCTGAGCGTGTACACCTGAAATATGCGCACACTAAAAAGCCTGTCAAACAGCAGCTGATTACTGGACTAAGTTATCTTTCGCGTTTGATTGCGCCAATACTGTCAAAAACACACAAGGTTTAGATTTAAGCACAGCTGGTTATTACTAAAGTGAAAGTAAAGAGTTGAGAGGAAGAGGAAGTTGCCTGTATATCATATGCGTATATGATGTGTGCAGGTCTTAAAGTGACAGCAGATGAATAGTACTAAATATGTTACCGCCTAAAGGGATTGTTCACCCAAAAATTACAATTCTGTCATTATTCACTCACTCTCATGTTGTCCCAAACCTGTATTAATTTTCTTTTCTTGTGCTGAACACAAAAGAAGATATTTTGAAGAATGTGGGTAACCAAATAGTTGCTGGTCCTCATTGACTTTGATAGTAGGAAAAAAATACTATGGAAGTCAATGGGAACCAGCAACTATTTGGTTACCCAAATTCTTTAAAATGACTTTTATATTCAACAGAATAAAGAAACGCATTAAGGTTTTAAACAACTTGAGAGTGAGTAAATGATGACAAAATGTTAATTTTTAGGTGACCTATCCCTTTAATGTTAACAAACCACAAAGAGGGAAATCACTCACTGCTCTTGACTGTAGAACTTGAATACAGTTGCTTTAATAGGAATCAGTGTATAATTTATGCAGTAAAGTGTAGCCTATGTAGTGTTTTATTTTTATATTTGTTCATTCAATTTCTTGAATGCTACCGCTAAATACACCTACTATACCTGAAAAATAAAGCAATATTTGTTTTATTTGTATATCATGTGTATTTGTAATGTGCATTTTTGTTCTTAACAGATAAAATAATGACAAAGATTTTTATCTTCACGCACTTTGGCCTAAATGTCTGCCATTCTTTTTATTTTAGATTTTGTTACCTTGTAAGGCTTTGTTTTTAAAATAGAAAATGTTTTTTGGCTGTACTGCTCAGACAACTTGCAAAATAGTAAAACCAACATAAAAGAATCATGATAAAATCATGAATCGTGATTTCTATCTGTCTTATCTGTCTGTCTGTCTGACTTTTTTGATGAATGTGTTTAATGCAAATGCTTTCTTGTCTGATGTTGGTGATGCTGAAATCAATTTTGTATCAGCAGTCAGCAGTGTGATTCAATAACGGATTCAGTTCATTCTTTGATCTGAAATGTCAAAGGACTTTGGACATGAGCCGTTTCAGCATTCTCTCTTTACAAACATCCACCCACTTACATTCTGTCTGTGAGGCTGAACTGTGTGTTTTTGAGCCATATCAGATCAGACAACTAACAATATCTCCCCACACCACAGGATTGAAAAAACGCACCAGGAAGGCCTTCGGGATACGGAAGAAAGAAAAGGACACTGACTCTACGTAAGTTTCACTGATTTATATACCAGAATTCAAAACCTATAAAGCCTGCTGTATGAATTTGATATGAAAATTTCTAATGATCAAAACCTTTCTGAAAACCCTGTTTTACACAGTCTTATGCCTTCTGATGTCTGATTGGTAGTTTATACTTTTTAGCAAGTAAAATCGTCCCCCTTCAGGTAATAGTAATTGTGTCTTTTTGCCTTATTTTTTTTACAGATTTAAGTAAGAATAACTTAAATATTGTTAGGGATATTTAAAGAAGGACACCTAGGTTTACTTGATTATCAATACGTCTTTTTTTGTCCTCCACAATAAAAATACAGAGATTTTAAATATAATCTTTCTAAGACCTAGAATTTGGAGATATAGAGTAACAACTGATATGTATATGCAATTTATGCCAGTATTATTATTATAGATTTAATTGACATTATAAGTTGTAAGAATTATAGCTTACTTTATGGCCATATAAATATCAGTAACTGCACTAAATGACATATTTTGCTTAATGTGGGCCTTTTGTTTCAATAAACTTTTCCATTCCAAAAAATTTGATTTGTTTGACTATTGTCTCATATGTCAGACCTTACAGGATTAATGCACTTATTATAATAGTAGTGCTTCCTAAGGCAGGCTGATGGAGTTCTCTCACAAACCCATCAACATAATGGAGCATTTGCTGCTTGCACGCTATGAATCCCTGTCTCCTGCTTCAGGGTGCTATAGATGATGCCTGTTTTGAGAGCGTGTGTCTGTTTGGGGCCCAACGCACAGGTGTTTCTGTGCCTCAGAGCGAAGCCTGGCTAATTGCTTCTGTGCTTGAGTTGATAAAAAAAGAGAGGCTTGCATGTTAAGTGCGTATTAAAGACCTCTCTGTCTCTCTCTTTGTCTCTTTCTTTTGTTTTCCCTGTTTTAGGGGGTCACCAGACAGAGATGGTGGAGTAAGTGCCTCTTAACTTACAGCATCATTTCAAGAGCCATATTTACTATTTTGGAATTTGAATTGATGTTTGTTTTAATTAGGGCTGCCAAAGTTGATCATTAACAAATGCAATTAACCAAATGTTTAACATTGTTAATGTGTGTATTCAATTCACTCCCTTCTTTGTGATTTCTGAGAAATTATTTATTGCCAATTAGTTATTTTGACAAGTGCATTAAAGGGATAGTTCACCCAAAAATGAAAATTCTGTCATTTGGGTTTGGAATCACAAGATGATTGATATTTTTGGACTCAGCGTCATGAAAATAGGTCATGTTTAGGCCTGTTTTGCAAATCCGTACAATATTTTTTTATGCAGGGATTTGTAATAAGTGTTAATGTAAAACATTTTCATGTGAAGCCTAATTGGAAATATAAATAGTCTGACATGGTGAAAAAGTGTAATAATTCAAATGATGTCTTTATTTTCTGTATGATGGATGTCCATGGCACAGGAGCCCCAAGAGACTGAATTGGTACTGAAAACATATAGAGACAGCATTGTTCTATTGCTTGAAGTCTAACGCTAGAACTGAATACTCACTAAGCACCTGTAGATTCCCCCAGCGGCACCCCTAAATAGGCCAAACTCATCTAATCTAGAAATCAGTGAATCTGAGTGATGTTACTAAAGTTGTGTTTTGATTTGCTCAGCCACAGAAAAAGACCAACGGGGCTCCAAATGGCTTCTACGGGGAGATTGATTGGGATAGATATGTAAGTCCATCTTTTTTAATAGCCTGATGATACTCCGCAAAGCATGGCAGTTCAAGCCTACTACATTAATGTCTATTTAATTTAAACTATCAAAAATCTGTAATAAAGACTGACTTCAGTTCTTTTCTATTGCAGAACTCGCCTGAGGTAGATGAAGAAGGATATAGCATCAGGCCAGATGAAGAAGAGGAAGATATCCTTTAATTTTGCCATAAATTAGTGTTATTACATTTTTTTTTTTTTAAATGATAAAAAAAATGTTGTGAATGAAAACAAAGCTGTGAGGTATAGAGACACAGTCTGTTCAGTGCTTTTTTAATGTTTTAGCTTTTTTCACCTACTGCAGCTTTTCTAACTTTACCTAACTTTTTTCTTCTTACATTAAGTTCTATAAAATTCAGTTTGCGTTGTAATCATGGCAATTTACAACTGGTCCCTTAACATCTCTCCACCAGCCCCTAAAGAAAAGTCTCACTTTTTCTCCTCTAGTGAGTCTGAAGAAGAGGAGGACCACCGCAAAAAGTTTAAGATTAAAATCAGACCGCTGCCAGCAGAAGCTAATATTGCAGCTCCCTCAGTAGATGAATTAAAAGCCTCCATAGGCAATATAGCTCTGTCTCCCTCGCCTCTGGTGAGTCCAGCCAATGTTACCCATGCATCCCAATCTTATGATACTGTTTCCTGTCACTTTTCGTACTTTAATATCACTTGGCAATTGTCTCTGTTATGTTTTGTGTTAAAGGTTTTGTATTTTGTACTTATTTTGACTTCCCTTATGAAAAGATACTGTGAAAGTACCTTGGTAAAGTGAGGCTTGTACATTAAATGTAGATATATAGTATTCCACTGTATAGTATTCCATACAGTGAATGTATACTTTAATTCTTTTGCTGTCATATTGTTGTGAATAAGCCTATTGGGTCAAGCTCACACCTGCCTTTTCTGATTAATATTGACTGTAACTCTCAGCGCATGTTTGAGAGCCAGTTTGAGAGCGCTTTGTGTTTCTGTCAGTAAGGAGAGGAAACATCCTGTTGCACTGTTGCAGATTTTATTTGCACTGTATAAGGAAGCTCATGAAATGGAGGAAGTGCTTTAGGTTCTTTATTAACCTTGTCAACTCACTTTTATAGTCACATGATGGCAAAAGCCACAAGCCAGACTTGGCTTACAGTACAAATGGCTTGTTTTTTGTGAAGTGTTGCTTGTAGTGTGTGGTTAATATGAGGCTATCACACTGTTTAGGCTGTTTCTAGAGAGAGCATCGTGAGCAATTCAGATGGAGCTGCCTGCCATTTTAATAGTCCAAAAACGCCTGCCATTTCACTAAAAACATTTTTGAATTTCAGCAGTCAACATAGCTGCATCCTGTTAATTAAAGCTCTTTTTATGAGCTTTAAATGAATTTTTAGGATGTACCTTGAACAAGAAAGTCTATGTTTGTGTGCCTTATATATGCAGCATTTAGGAGATGAATATGTCTGTGTGGGCAGCACATCTATTCATTCTCCACAGGCTCAAAACAGACTCCTTTAACAAAACAATATTAAAATTAAATTACATTTTTCTTTTATTCAACAAGGAAGCATTACATTTGGCCAAAAGTGGCAGTAAAGTCATTTACAATATTACAAAAGATTTCGATTTCAAAATAAATGCTGTTGTTTTGAAATTTCTATTCATCAAGGAATCCACAAAATTCACAAAAAATATTATGCAGCACAACTGCTTTCAACAATGCTAAGATATGGAATACTTCTTGAGCACCAAATCTGCATGAGAAAGATTTCTGAAGGATCATGTGATGCTGAAGATGAGGAGCGTCTACTGATAAATTCAAGTGTGCCGTCACAAGAATAAACTACTTTTATTAATTCAAAATATATTAAAATAGAAAACGGCTATTTAAATTACAATAATATTTCACAGTTTCACTGTATTTCACTGTCAATAAATACAGATGACAGAGGATACAGCCTTTGCTGATAAAATTTTCCCAAGCCTCCATCAGATTTGACTATATAATTTTAATTTTTGTAAACTCACAACAGAGAATATCCTGAGAACATCTGGTTCATATGGTGTTTGCGGTTAAAAAAGATTCCAGAAAGATTATCTGTACTTTAATACTGACTTTTAAAAATGTTTTGCCAGTGAAGTCATCTAAAGTTCATCTGACGGAGGTCATTCAGATGAGAAATGGCATAGATGAGTCTTATCTGACTCACTGTTGTTATCTGAAGTCAGAGTGAGTAGGAGTTTCAGGTGGAGCCTCGCACTGAAGTGTCACTCTGTTCTCTCTCAATAATTCAGCTTGGAAACTAGGCACAATGGCTCCACTGCATGGTGCGGCAAGCCTATAGAATGAGCACAGGCATCCAGGCCAGAGCCTGTCACATGATGAACTTGCACACTAAATTATTCATGCAGGCAAATTCATGTAATTCCGTCAATGTGCTTTCAATCAATCTTACTCTGATCTACAACTCAGGACCACGTGCTGAGGTGTTTCTTGTTCTGCCTTGTTCCTAAAATTAATTGCCACTCAGATTGGTCTTTAGCTGTCACAAAGTAATTATCTTTTCTGGGGTTTTCATTAGCTCTTATTCCCAAAGTTAAATTTGAATCTGCACATTTATGAATTGCTCTCACAGTATGCTCAATGAATGCTAAACTACTTTGAACTTTGAGCAGATATACTCCTAAAACAGTGCAGTTTATTTAGCTATAGCTAGCTTTATGAACACTGAATGTGTAGCTTCTTAAATCCATGATAAAGTGACAGTTATGATCTGATGTTCCAATAGTGAATTGTTATTCTTTTTATTTTTTTATATAGCAGTATTGTGTTATGTCAGGAACTATATCTTTGAGCAGAAGGAAGTCACTAATGGGACTGAACAGGATGCTCAAGCAAATAGAGCTTTGAAAGCACCACAAAGATAAAGTTGTTTAGTTTCCATGCAGTAAAATGTTCATTATGATAAGCATCCAGTACACTACTGTTTAAAGTTTGGGTTAAATGTTTTCAGTTGTGCTTCTTTATATTTTTATAGAAAAAATAAATTTTTTCAGCATTCCTTGAATACAAAATTAAAAAATAGCATGTATTTGAAATAAATATTCTGTAACAATATAATTTTTTACTTTTGATCAATTTAGTGCATCCTTGCTAAATAAAAGTATTAATTCCTTTCAAATAAATGGACAGTACTGCATATTCAGGAAATGTAAATAAATAAATAAATGCTTTTTAATGCATATTTTGCATAAAAATTTTACTTATGTTATATCCCAAAATTTGCATAAAATATGTGTAACTAATAGTAAATTTTTTAGGGAATTCATCCAAATGTCTTGTACTTAATTTGTATTTTAACGTTGGAAAAATGGCATGCTTTAAGCAGTCTTATTTTGACTGAAATCCACTTTGTCCAGTATATTGGAAAGCCTGGCATTCCTTCCTCATGAATTAAACATTAGTCACATGCCCATCCTGTGCCATGGCAACCTGTGCGTATGTGTGTAACGATGGTGTTGGATTAGCCATGAATACGCATCAGAAGAAAGTGTGAGCAAAGCTCTACAATAGAGATCGTGCTCTCGTTGTATAAGAGTAGAGTGATAATTAATTCAGAAGATATATTGCATCCAGTCAGCCACCCAGAACACTGGGAGAGATAACTGTAACAGTGGAGTTATAGTCGCGCGAATACAGAGCATAAAGGTATGGGGGTTTTTATATAGCACACCTCTCGGCCAGGTGCTGGGTTCCAGCTGGTGTTCATGTTTTATTGATAAGGTTTGCTTCTTTATTAAGCCTCTTGAATATGGGCAGTCATCCAACAAGAGTTAATAAAGCTACACATGGGAAACACTGTGTGCTCAGAACTTGTTTGATCATTAGACCGTCTTAATTCCAAGCTGTGTGACAGAATGTAGATACGTAGCAAGCTGGAGGGATTTTTAAAAGAAAGAGCTCACCCAAACTAACAAAAATGTAATTTGCTCAGCCTAATCTTGTTCCAACTAGTGTTGCTTTCGTCAACGAAAATTATGACTAAATATAGTCGTCAACGAACCTTTATCACGTGACAAAAACGAGACGACACGAGACGAAAATGCTGGTCATGTGACGATGACGATAATTAAATGTACAATGCAATATCGTTGACGAATAAAAACGAGACGAAATGTGGCTTACAAAATAAAAACTATGCTAAAATGTCTCTTCATTTTCGTTGACCAAAACGAGATGAAACGAAATGTTCTAATGTTATTTCGTCTCGTTATTATTATTATTTTGCAGTATTTCTGTTTCCTGTGTCTCCTTCAGGGGCTGCATCAGGTCACACTGCGCAGACGCAGGCGACGTCACTTCCTCAAGCCCCACTCGTGGAATTATTTAGAGAAGTGTTTCCCAACCGGGGTGTCTGTTAACCGTTATGCTCATGTGTCCTCTGATAATAATAGCTTTCTAAGATTAAACATTATTTGGATAATTGGTAAAAAAAAATAATAATCTCTTAATAACCCTACAAAAATACACTGAGTGAGCAAAACTTTATTTAATTACCATTATAACTATCTCACAATGTTTACATATGAATAAAAGCCTATAAAATTAAAACAGGCCGCCAAAAACAACACTAGTTCCAACCCCTCTATTTAAATCCATGGGAATAAATATTTTAGAATGTCCAACTTTTTTATATAATTATAGAGTGAGCTCAAAAACTATTTAAAAACACCATAAACCCATAAGGCTTGTATGCTACATTATACGTTTTCTCAAGCATTTTGTGTGAAGGGAAACAATAAAAGAGCCGGTAATTAAAACATTTTTCCCTTTGCAGTAGCTTTTAAGTGTCATTCAGTTCAAATATGGTGCATTGTTATGCACCACTTTTATGCACCACTCTGTACTTCCATTCAAAAGTTTGGGGTCAGTATTTTATGTATTTACTTAGGAAAAAAATGTATACTTTTACTCAACAAGAATTCATTAAATTGATCAGAAGAGACGGTGAAGGCATTTATAATGTTACAAAAGATTTATATTTCAAATAATGCTGTTCTTTTAAATTTTCTATTCATCAAAGAATTCAGAAAAATGTTTTGCAATTGCAACAAAAATATTAAGCAGCAAAACTGTTTTCAGCAATGATAACAATAAGAAATGTTTTTTGAGCACAAAATCATTGAAGACTGGAGTAATAGCTGCTGAAAATTCTGCTTTGCAATCTCCGGAATAAATTACAGCTTAAAATATATTCAAATAGAAAATAGTTATTTTAAATTATAATAATATTTCACAGTATTGCTGTATTTTTATATTGTTATAATATTACTGTATATTTGATTAAATAAATGTCTTAATGAGCATAAGAGACATCTTTCAAAAACATTAAATCATTCTTAGAGACCCAAAGCTTTTTAGCGTATATCATTCTCTGTGCTCAACAGAAACACAAAAATCATATGGGTTTGGAACAACATATCAAAATTAAATTTTTGGGGTGAAATATTATGTGTTAAATGAGGATGTGGGTTTTGTTTTTGATTTTTTTTTAGCAGCATTCATTTAAATTACAAGTAAAGACGTTCATTCAGGTCACTCACTGAGATCTTGATCTGTTGCCACATTTCACTAATCTGCTTATTAGCTGAGATATATTGTGTGCTGGAGGCGATATCAGTGGCTGACACCAAAAAAGTGACAAAATGGATTTGCAGAGTGTTGCATCATACTGTGATCTGTGTGTACACATTTCTGCTGTGTCATTCCTCTCAAATTCCTCTGTAATGTGTTTGTGCATGCTTACCAGCACTATACTAATGTAGATCATGCTCCCTCTTCTGTCTCTCAACCTGTCTGTCTGTTTCTATCTACTGGCTGATATAGAGGAATAGTCCGGTAAGCTGTTTATACATTGTCTTACACTTTGTGAGTGACATCTTCATACGTTTCTCAGTTGGCATGGTGAAGGTTGCATGCACTGTGATTAATAAGCCATTAAGAACTGATTTTAGGTCAGTTTGGGTGTTTACGGGTGAACTGTGGAAACAGACAATAGACTCTAGTATGGAGCCATTTTAGTCTCAATAATAATTCACGCAAAAGACATGATGCACACATGCGTAACCAAATTGAAAATAATTAAATGTTAAAAAATAAAACAATACCCCTTAACTAGGCTAGTTAACTGAAATGATCAACTGTACACACCTCTGCTGAACTGTGACTTGAACTTGGTCTCGCACTGATGATGCAACATCCAGGTAGGCAACACCCAGGGCACGCGCCTCATAGGCCCACAGCAGGTTATGATTGGTCGATTGACAGTCAAATCTGATTGGCTAAAGAGTATGAGTGACCCGTGGGGAAGGAGTTTGCTGCCAGGAAAGTCTCAAAAATATGATTTGCACATTCACAGTCCATGATGAAAATTTTAAACATTCAAAACTTTTTGTGCACAGTTGTACATCTGTGAATTGTGTTTTGCGTTTGTGAAACAGAATTTATGAATATTATATATATTTATTTTGTGCACATAAATTGGTTTTTGTGAATATTTGTTTTCATACACATTAATTGAATTCATGCATGTGAATTTGGTTACGCATGTGTCTATCATGTCTTTTGCGTGAATTATTATTGAGACTAAAATGGCTCCATACGATAGAGATGTGTATAGGGACTATACTGTTTACTGTTTATGCATGGAGAGGATACAAAATAAGCTTAGAGTTTCACAGCGAGACTGAAAATTGATTAAAGGGGTCATATGATGTGATTTCAAGTTTTCCTTTCTCTTTGGAATGTTACAAGCTGTTCGTGAATAGATAAGATCCCTAAAGTTGCTAAGAGATATTCTTTATAAAAGTTAAGACTTGTCCACGCCCTCCTAAAACGCCTAATTTAAACACGTCCCCACAAGTCTACGTCACAATGTGGGAAGATTTACATAACACCGCCCAAATGTTCATGCAAAGAAAAAAGGCATAACTTTGATTCTCGCTGTAGTATTGTTGCCGCCACCATATCGTGGAGATGCTGTGTGTTTCATTGTGAAAGCGAAACTACTTTGTTTGGCCTTCCAAAAGAGGACACAACTAGAAATCTGTGGTTAAGTTGTATTTACAACACTGTTCCAGAACAGTTCAAACCAAATATTCAGATGTGTGCAACGCATTTTACTGAGGACGAGGACTGTTTCCTGATCCTAGGAGAGTAGCCTACAATGCTGGTGTTCCAGTGAATTCAGTTCCCCTGTTTCCCCTTCGGCGCACATGCTGACCACAGTCTATGATGCTGACAAATAATGCTGACTCACAGCCTGTAAGTACATTTTCATATTTAAAGGATTTGCCACTGACGATTGAAACACGAGTCGTTTCTCCGATCACAAATGCAGACTTGGTTTTATGTTTAGGTGGCGCAATGCAACGCAACGCGTAAAAAGACAGTATAAGTCATTATAATCAGTAATTATGTCCCCACTGGATGCAACAAATGCCTCGTTTGTAATGGGTTTTAATGTTTTTGTCTCATCGCTCCGGCCGGGACACGGCATCAACAGTATGTGAGGGGCGTAACATTTCCGTCTCACGCTTGAGGTATTCGGCCAATCTTTTTCAGACCGATGAGTTTTGTAAAAATCGACGCGTTTCAAAAAGGCGGGGCATAGAGGAGAAACAATAATGTACAGTATGTGGAAAATAATGTTTTTTTTACTTTAAACCGCATAAACACATTTCATTTCACCAAATACACAAAATAATGTTCTTTTTAGCAACATCATATGACCCCTTTAAAACATTAAAGTTTTTGGTTGCATGCCAGTCTTTCTGCTTGTCTACTGTTGGCTTCGATTAGTGGTGACCATTGCTTACAGTCTATAGGATTAGACTTTGCCACTGGTACATCAGCCTGATCACTCAGCACTCACGAGCCAGACTGAACTCAGAGCCCTCGTTCCTGGACTTAATCCAGCTGTGAAGAAGGGAGGAATAGGAAAAAAAGAAAGATTAGTTTAAATTGGAGTGAGCAGGAATGTCCCCAGCTAGAGTGATTGTCAACAGAAAATGAACTTTCTTGTCTTTTTTTTTGCATTATAACTAAATTTTGTCCAGGAGTATCATGACCATAATTTTTTTCGTTTGTCATACAGTATCTTTGCAACCTCTTTGAAATGACTCATGAGCAGTACATACTTTCTATGCTTTTAGATCCTCTGAAGAATAAACAGTGCTGAGACAAGCAGCACTGCACAGGTGCAACGTTGGCAATATATGCATAAATACCATTTTCATGAATTGCTGAAAAGTGCCTTTTGAAGCAGAGTATTTCCAAGTTATTCATAATAGCGCTAACATAAGATGAGATCGTTATTGTTATGTGAATGTTATCCTCACAGTTCCGTGAAAACTATCCTTCATGACATTCAAAAGCAAAAAGCTGAATTTTAAATTGGAACTTTTAAGATTCAAAAAAGGGCACAAAAGACAATAAATAGTATTATAAAAGTGCCCAATATGACTTGTGTTCCATATTTTCTCCAGCTGTATAATGGTTTTATGTGATGAACAAATTGAATTCTTTATTGAATCTTAATTTTTTTAACTTTGTCACTGACTTCCTTGGGTCTCAAAATGAAAGAATCTTTAAATAAAAATCATTATTAAAGCACATCATAAAGGTAAACATTTAGGAACAGAGGTTGCTTTTGATCGAAGTCTGTATTACTGATTTATCACTTTCTGACCAGGTGTCTCTTCTCTCTTCCTTTTTGCTGGTCACAGAGACGTAGCCCGGTAAGTGTCTTTTAACATTATTTTTCTGTTCTCCAAGTGCTTGAACCACTTTGTGATTCTGTTGAAACAGTTATACAGAAGCAGAACTTTTGAAGATACCTTTGTTAAAAGAATAGATGTTTAGAGAAATTTCCATGTAATGATATTTCCATGTAGAAATGCAAAGGTCAGAATCAGTTTTTTGTTAATAATGATTACTCTTTATAGACATTACTATTTGTTAAAATTAGCACTTTTATTCACTTTCTCTTTCACTCAAATGGTCGTTTTTAATTTTTTGTTAAATTTAAATTAAATGGCACATGTGAGTAAATATATTGCTTACTCGTGTGCTATAGGAAAAAAATGCTTGCGTTGGAGATCAAACTAATGCCTTTTTATGATTTGTAGTCTGGGTGTTGTAGAGCCTTGCCTAAAGCAAGTTCTTAATAATAATAATAATTTAAGTTCTTAATCTAAATATGATATATCTGAATATCATTTCATATTTTAGTGCAAAGAATGCCGTTTTGATGATTGAAAAAACGAATGCTGTTCTTCTATTTGAAATTCACAGCCACCATAAAGAACCTGATGTAATTACATTGATGCCAGTGTTATTTGTTACTAATGCATCAGTGAGTTAGATAAGAGTCAATCATAGGAATCAGCGCTTCTGTCAGCTGTAGAATGCATTATGAAACAGAAATTTACAGGGCATCAAGGCAATGCCTCTGTCTGAATTTGACTCACCATTCCCTTGATTAAATTGACCCAAAATGCACTCTTCTCAGCTGATGAGAGATATGGTGTTATGAGCTTTTAGTCTTATGAATGTTTTGGCCTTCTGTTTGTTTCAGGGGCTGGCAAAAAGAAATCCCAGTAAGTACACATAATGCAATTTGTTCTTGGGTTTATGAGTTTGATGTCTATGTCGATTCAAATCTGACACTAAATAGTTGTCTGGCATTAGGTGCAGTTTATTTGCATTCATTTGATCATGCTGTTAACCTCAGGTGAAGAAATTGCACGACCGAGACGAGCTGTTCCAACGCCTGCACCAGCTCCTGCCCCTTCCCCGACACCTGCACCTACACCCCCTCCTGAGCCTGCTAGGTATCTATACGCACACTTACACACTTTATGAAACAGTAATTTTGTTGTTTCCAAGTTTATTATTGTTTTGTTACCTAAAATAAAGAAAAAAAATGTTTGCAGAAGACCACAAATGTGCACACAAAAATTAAAAGATTAAAAATTATAGAGAAAATTATTTTTCAAAGCTGGATGGTCGGATTGAATTAATCTTCCAAGCCTGACTTCAGACTGCATTCTGTAAAAAAATGCTCGATATGACAGGAAGTGAATGTCTAAAACTCAGGTTGGCATTTAGGTGCAGGTAAATTACATTTTGTGGTTAAATGTTGCATTTTAATACTAAATGTAGTGGTAAATATTTATAAGATAATTTCATTCTTCTCAAGTACTGCAGTATGCGGTGTCATTGTGAATTTGACAACGAAACTGTTAACCTGAATGGTATTTTTTTGAGTATGGTGCAGTTCTGATAAAGTGCAGTGTGTGTTTGTTATCACTTGTAGATGGAGCAATTTGTGCTGGAACTAAAATGCCTGAAATTGAAACTAAACAAAAAAAAGTATTTATGTATCATTTAAGCATTTAAACTAAGTAAAACTTTGTTTAAAAACGTCTCCAGGTTACGCATGTAACCATGGTTCCCCAAAGGGAACGAGAAGCTGCGTCGAAACACTATGGGAACGCCTTCAGCATGACCACGCTCTGAATCACATGTAATCAGTCCAATGGATGGGCGAGACGTCACGGGCGGGGTGACGTAACGACCAGGAAGCTTAAAAGCACGTGTGGTGGAACTGGCGTCAGCTTCTAGGAATGAAGCAGGCGCTCGCAGGGATGCCGGAAGTATGGCACTGAGACGCAGCGTCTCATTCCCTTCGGGGAACCATGGTTACATGTGTAACCTGGAGACATTCCCCTTCAGGAACTCGGGCTGCGTCGAAACGCTATGGGAACGAGAATGCCCATGCCGCCAGACTTACAAATCCCTGCCTAGTGTGGAAGAGCACAGCTAAATTGAGAGAACGGAGCCAGGAGTGGCGCAGAATGCAGGTAGGCACCTGACAAAGTAGGCGGGGACATCCCGCTCAAAGGCCAACTTTAGAAGGAGTGAGTCTTTACCCCCAATGGAGAGGGGAGATCAGAGGACTCGAGGCTATGGAATAGCATCCTGATCCACCGCTTATCAAAAGCTTCTCTGACTGGAGGCCTCAGTGCACCATGGAAACGTGTAACTAGGGGGTGTCTGCCCACTGACTGGCCACCAGTAGGCCGCAATGGCCGCCACGTAGACCTTTAGGGTGGAGTGGGTCAACCCTGCGGAGAGACGGGCCTGCAGGAACTCCAGAACTGTACCAACCGGGCAGTCGACTGGGTCGAGCTGGCGGTCTCCGCACCAAGAAGTGAAAAGCTTCCACTTCAGGGCATACAGTTTCCTCATAGAGGGAGCTCTGGATTGGAGGATGGTCTCAACAACCTCGGTTGAGAGACCGGAAGCTACGAGTTGTGCCCCCTCAGGGGCCACACCCATAACTTCCACAGCTCCAGGCAGGGGGGAATATCGTGCCCTCCGCCTGTAAGAGGAGGTCCCTCCTGACGGGGATCTCCCATGGACTCCACAGACCGCGGGCCGAGCGGCTACTCATGACCGCTCCCCCAACCAGTGAGGGGCACATCCGTCGCTAGTGTTACGTGGCAACAAGTAGCTCCCAGCACCGGGCCCTGAGACAAGAACCAAGGTTTCCTCCACATGTCTAAGGCACGAAGGCAGCGCCGCGTGACCTTGAGTATTGGTCTTGAGCCACCACTGTAGGGGTCTCATGTACAGCAGGCCAAGAGATATCACATTGGACGCAGCTGCCATCAGACCCAGCAGTCTCTGAAACTGCTTGACAGTGAGTGACAGGCCTTCTCTCACTCTCTTGACTGCCGTGAGGATCGACTCGATCCGAGCAGGGGACAAACATGCCTGCATCGTGGTCGAATCCCACACCACACCCAGATAAGTGGTCCTCTGTAAGGGAGAAAGCACACTTTTCTTGGCGTTTAGTCTTAACCCCTACTCTTTCATGTGAGCGAGAACTACATCTCGATGACGAACCGCTATCTGCTCTGAATGAGCTAATATCAACCAATCGTCTATGTAGTTGAGTATGCGGATGCCCTGGAATCACAGAGGAGCCAGAGCAGCATCCACACACTTGGTGAAAGTGAGGGGTGAGAGTGCAAGGCCGAAAGGAAGAACCCGATATTGGTAAGCTTTGCCCCCAAAGCAAACCTCAGGAACTTCCTGTGATGAGGAAAGATGGAGATATGGAAGTTTGCGTCTTTTAGATCGATCGTGACAAACCAGTCCTCGGACCTGATCTGAGACACGATTTGTTTGAGTGTGAGCATCCCGAACTTCAGTTGCATGACTGGGCGGTTCAACTGACGCAGATCTAAAATGGGACGCAACCCTCCATCCCTCTTTGGAACAATGAAGTACCGGCTGTAGAACCTGGACTCTCTACCGCAAGGAGGGACCACCTCAATAGCCTCCTTCCTCAAGAGAGTATCTACTTCTTGTTCCATTATCAGAGCCTGCTCGGGATCCACCAAGGTGGGGATAACCCCGTTGAACTGAGGCGGAGGAGAACCAACTGGATTCTGTAGCCTCTCTCTACAGTGTGCAGGACCCACTGAGAC